CACACACACACACACACACACACACACACACACACACACACACACACGTCATTACCGACACCGTTCAAGAGTCTTATGAGTATCATTCAAATACTCAGGAGTATTGAAAGGTGGTTGGATGAATGAAAATGAATTATTCTGTCACTGTATGACTTCAGAGTGACTAGGAGGCTTAAAAGCACTTTCAGAAACTAGGCTTTTGAGTTTGAGATGACGAAGACAAAGGGAGGAGATTTAGCCCCAGGACTGTGAGTTATACCTCCTTAGAAGAAGGAAAGAAAGTTGCTAATTGGACAAGAGTCATGTTTACAGAGCTTCAGAAGGATCTACACATTTGAAAGAATATAAAAAATGTCCACCCTACCCTTTTGTTGGAAACACCGTCTAATTGCCTCTTCAAACCACAATGCATGTTGTACCTGGTTGGCTTTGTACTCTGAGAAGCGTAAGATTTCGAATTGATGTCGCAAGATTATTTACATAGTCACCAAATCAAAAGTGACATGTGAAAAATATGAAGTTTGTATCAGCTCGTGATTCAAAGACAACATTCTCGGGTGTGTGGGGTTGAGAAATAAGGAAAGTGGCTGTTCACAGCACCTGCCTTTGGCTGTACCACGGTCAACGATGTGCTGTCACAGGTGTGTGCCTTGTGCAACCCTCCACGCCCTTCTGGGGCTCAGGCTTGGTTTACCACAGTTTAAGAATTTACCCAAAGGCATCAAGCCAGTCCACACACTCGCTGGGCGGTGGGTGTATCTATCGATGTTTCTTCCCGTCCCTTCCAACAAAAACCAGAGCCAAGCCCTGAGCTGCAAAACATTTGAAGAAACAAAAGTATCCCAGCTAATGACAAGAATTTCTCATGTTTCTTCTTCCTTTCTATGATCATATAGAGAACGGGACAGACTGCAGGAGTCATTTGATAACCATTTGCTTCCCCTGTCTTTTGTTCACATAACTTTTCATTTGCAAGTCCTGAGTGAAAGTACACTAAAGCCAAACTTCTTTTACAAATAACTACTTTCTCGAAGCTTTTGCATCTACATAAAGGATTACAGATGGGTTCTTCAAGAGCCTGTCAGGACGTGTGTTTGGAAATACAGACTGTGTCGTCACTGTTGGGTTTTTGTGATCGTCACAGATGTCTGCCAGAGTGGAGACCAGAGCTTCATTCACACTGATCATGGCTCCCCAGGTTTGCTTCGCTGTTATAACCTTTATTCCGGCCCATTTTAACGTGTCCAACAATTTTCTCTGAATTCCACCCTTCATGCCACCTTGTTCCTTCTGTAACGTATCATCAAGATGGTGATGTTGTGATGAAGAACCTCAAGTACCACTAAGATTATGGATCAGCAGGATACACTCAAAAGATCCTTCTTTTTTCTTTGACATTAGCTCTCTTGCACCGCTTTGAGACTAGAAGGGTTTTCATTTTTCAGGTAAGCTCTGAAGCCCTCAGGATCTTCTAAGCTGTTTTTTTTAAAAAAAAAAAAAAAAATCAATTTTTGGAGGGGTGGCAGGCACCTAGCCAAGCCCTAATGAGGCTGGGTGGGAGTTATGGAGCACGTTCAGCTCAAATCATGGAAACAGGTCTGGGTGAGTTCAGATTCACCTCTCGGTTATGAAGCCCTCTGAACCTGGTGAGTTCCACCACTGTTTGAAAGTGGTGGTTAGCTGTTACGCACAGTTGTAATTTACCTTCTGAATATGGGGAACACAATAAGAAAAGGTGCACAGGGGTAAAAATAATCATTACCACCAAAAAAGATAAACAGCAAGGTCATTACTAAGCAAATCGACACATGGCATTTATGTGGCAGCAGGAAGCCATTATCCAAGTGACTGTGTCATTTCTACTGACACTGAATCTCGATTAGATTCAGACAGTCCAGCAAAAAACTGTTATAATGGTGGGACCGAAGAAAGTTTTGGGGTTTTTTTTAACTTTTCTTTTTTGCAAATGGAATTGCCACCCAGTTGGAACTTCTGGGTGTCTGCCTTTGGAGTATGACCACATGAAATGCATACGCCTTGTAAGAGCACAACTGACTTCTCATCCCTCACCACCTCTCACATCCCTCATCCTCCCACCAGGACCACCCTGGGCATATTCAGAAGCCACACGTCAAGCATTAGGCACCCACTTCAGCTTGCTATTTTGGAGACAAATCGTTGCTACTTTCTATCTCCAGGCACCTTGAGAGTAACCATTCAGAAGCATAATATTGATAATTCATCAACTTGAGTCAATAAATCCTGCATTTCTAATGAAAAGAAATGGCATTTTAATGGATTATTTATATACTGATAATAGAACAAACTGGCAGACATGGCAGACGCAGTGAAACGGACTCTTCTAAGACCACAGCTCAAGTTTCAGCAGAGGGCATCTGGGTGTTCAGTGGACCCATAAGGGATCCTTCAGTGTGACTTTCAGAGTTTTAAGTCCTCAGAGTTCACATGCAAATTATAACATCATGTGATTTTGTTTTGAATAAATGCTTCTCTTCAGAAATTAAGGGAGGGGAAGTTTATTTTCTGCATTGGCTTAATAAAAAAGACTCCCCCAACTTGAGAATAACTTGTGCATTGTTTTATTCCAGGCAAGAATACACACAGCATAGACACCTCGCTGTATCCTGCACAGAGAGATACGGAGAGATTTCATCTCTCTGCAAAGTAGACCATAGCGGTCTGGGAAGACGGAATTAAGAGCTATATGGTAGACACAAGCTCTGGGGTGTGATATTCGGCCCACAAAGCTCTCTACATAGCCAAAATGTGGTTTGTCTTTTGGAAATTCACCTAAAATTAACGTTGGTTCTCATTTGCCATAAAAAAGCTCTCAAACGAAGCCCTCAGCCAGAATCAGAGTTATGTGACCAACAGAAACTACAGGATTTAAGGAACCAAAGTCATAGGAGATATGTGAGCTGGGTTGTGGAAAATAACACTGTCAATTTTAAGCCCTTCTACTGGAACTGTTCTCAAGAACACAGTAAAGTGGAACATATTAACCTTGTAGGAAATTACCAGAATCTTCTACGAAATACCTATGAATTAACTTTTTCGCACAAGTAAATAGAACATATAGTTTATTATCAAAGTACTTCTTGTATGATGAGGCAGGAAACATGAAAGTACAATAACGAACACAGGGCAAAAACAACGCTGGCGTTGCCCAGTGACACCATTTATCACGACAGATCAAAATGAGCACAGTCCATATTATTGTCCCAAGTGCTGAGAATCCAGCCAGAAGCACTAAGAAAAGCCTCGCTCCAACACTGTGTCTCTAGCCACACCACCGCTGTCCCCGCCATGCTGCAGGGGGATGCATTGCTGCTTCACTGCCCTCCTCTGCAGATCTGTGGCCCAAACTCGGAGATGCAGGCGGATTACCTGGATGCCAATGAAAACTGCTCATTTCCCTCACATCCTGGGATACAGATGGCGGCCGGAGACAAGGAATCTGCATTCTTTCAAGCATCTGGAGATGATCCGAGGGGCTCAGGGAGGAGGGGCTCAGTTGGAGGAAAACATTCTGAAGGCAGGTGTCACCCTTCTGTTAATCTGGCTCATTGGTCTCTGGGTTGTGACTGGATTGATGTATTCCCTTCTCCTTACCTTTTCCCTTCAGCGTAATTAGCCTAGAAAATTCCTTTCTGGTCTCTCTCTGCCTTGAAGGAAAAAGGATGTTAATCTTTGCTGCCCAGATTGGACTAGGCTTGCCGTTACGATCTGACATCACTGTTAGCACCTGATGATTCAAAATGTTTGACCTTCACACTGCAGCAGCCCTGTGATGGCTGAGCTGCTCCAGGTCAGAACAAAACTCGCTCAAGTCAACTAAGCAAAACTCATTCAACATTCGACCAATATTTATCAAGCATTGCCAGGCACAGTTCAAAGCACTGAAGACTACTGGTAGATGTATTATTTGTTTTAAAACTTAAAGCGTAAGCTTAGAGGGCATGTTTTAGAAATAAATTTAAAACTTTTTGAAAACAATTTTTCTGATTGGTGCAGGCACGTGTGTTTTGTGCAGTGGTGTGAACCTGCGATAGTTTGCTATATCGCGGGGCACTCGGGTCCGCTGCTCCAGTAGCAACGGGAAAGGGAGGAGGCCAGCAGAGAGGCGGTGACTAACACATCAGTGGACCTAGATGCCCCTAACCTGATTAGCAGCCCTACGTATCCTGGCACCCGGTAGACCACTCCTTCCCGTGGGCACAGCGTGCTGGGGCCGAAGCTGGTTACTGAATGTTGTGCTAATGATTTTCTCTTCACAGGTCAACCCAGTGGCCATCAGCAGGTGGCAAGATCACTGGTCCAAGGCCAACTTTGTCCCTTGCTGTGGGATGACTGTGTGCACTGGACATGGGGGCATGAAAAAAAGAGCTTCCTGAAACCCACAGGCAAATAAGAACAAGATTCATTTATCCCATTGCCCAGTCTAAGGCGGTGCTTTGCAGACTTTTTAAAGTCATGACACACATAGAAAATGATAGCACTGTATTTGTATGACACTGGACGGCAGGAGACCAGGCCGGGAGCTCCGGCACCACGGGGGTGGCAGGGCTCACACATGCCCCAGCACTGACCCAGAGTTAGGTGAAGGCCACCTGGAGAATAAAATAGCTTGAGATATTGTAGAAGAGCTGTCCCCTTGGCTAAAGCTCACCTTTAGAACACAGTTCCAGAAGGTGGGAAGATGGACTGCATAGCTGACCACGGGAAGCGTTAGCAAATCCCATGCCCAGGTCCAGACCAATGAAATCAGAAACTTTGTGGGAAGGACCAGGTTGTTTTTTGAATCCCAGATGATTCTAACATGCCCCCAGGATTGAGAAGCATGGCTATAGAAGAATTAAAAAACCAAGGCCCTGGAGTCAGAGTGGGAGTTGGAATCCTGGCTCTTCCCCATTTGCCGAATAAGACTGAACACGTTGCTGAGCCTCGTAGAGCTGCGTGTTCTTATCTGCAACAGCGCCTCCTATAAATAGCTTATGGCGGCGCACGAATGATATAGGGAACGAGCCCAGTCCAGCTTTAAACGTAACTTTCTATTTTGAATAGCTTTATTCAATTACTTGACCTTCATTGTTTTGAGGATCTGGCCTCTGGGTACAGAATCTTACCCAGTAATTAATCCATATATCAAGCAAACTTGTGAACGTCCCCTGTGCCAGGCCCGATACTAGGTACCAAGAACACAAGGATGAGAACTAAGTAAGAAAGAGTTTTTCAGGAAGAGGGTTTCTAGCTAAGCTGAGGCTGAGTTCTCGGCAAGTGAGAAGTTAATAAGAATCGAGAACGTGACCTACAGTCCTGTCCTGAGTTGTTTCACGCTGAATACCCAGCGTTACTGCTCTGCCATCAAAGGCACCAGCACCATGTGGGGGGCGCAAGGGGGGCCTCACCTTCCTGGTCTAAGGATCAGGCTAAGGGAGCCGCCGGCCTTGTTACTGTTTACCTCCAAGGGCCTTCTGCCCACATTTATTTTAACATCTGTTAACTCCCTACTTTGGTCAACACCAAATCTAACTTCAGTTACCACCGACTGCAAAATTACAGAAAATGTACCAGAAACAATATCACGGTTGGGACTTCCCTGGTGGCGCAATGGCTAAGAATCCACCTGTCAATGCAGGGGACACGGGCTCGATCCCTGGTCCAGGAAGATCCCACATGCCGCGGAGCAACTAAGCCCGCGAGCCACAACTACTGAGCCCGCATGCTGCAACTACTGTAGCCCGCGGGCCTAGAGCCCGTGCTCCACAACAAGAGAAACCACTGCAATGAGAAGCCTGCACACCACAACGAAGAGTAGCCCCTGCTCGCAGCAACGAAGACCCAATGCAGCCAAATAAAGAAATAAATAAAATAAAAAGAAGTGACATTTGAACTGAGTTAATATCAAAAAAAATATCATGGTTAATATAACTAGCAAGGTGATCTGAAGATGATGGTCTGGCCTGGAGCTGTTCCACACCCATAGCCCAGACAGTAGACTTCACCCTGTACTTCCCTCCTGCTGAGATGAAGGGTGAACATATGTATTTGCCACACATCAGATAACAGGAGGTGAATCACAGAACTCAGAAGAGGCCGTTGATAAGGTGTGACCTGTGATACTGAAGCAACAACAATCTGCTTCTACATCGACTCTAAAATGTAAACTAGATTTTGTCTTGAAAATGTAGACGAACTAATAAAGATGTATCCTGAAGAAACAAACCATAGAATAAAATTATCTTAGACTTAACATAGGAAGCAAACTACATCCCAAGGCTATTCATCCTGTTTTATTTTTCTTCCTACTTTACTTACTACCAACTCAAATATTGTTAATTGATTGTTTACTTGTTTATTGTCTGTCCTCTCCTGCCCCCAAGTAAACGACAAGAGAGCAAGGACTTTTGTTGGCCAGTGTACGCCCTGGTTGACAAGGAACACAGAATAAATCTGTAGAATGAAAAAAAAGAACATGACAGGGAAAACTACAGGCCAGTACCTGTAACATGGCTGCATTTTTCTTTAAATGATTGTCGAAGATAAGACTTGATGAGCTAGATTACTTTAAAAGCTAGGCCCATGTTGTGCCCAAGTGGCAAAGGAAGTTTGCTGAATCTGCCAGCAGTGCAGCCTAAGTTACTGAAGCTGGACTTTCAACACTAAACAGAAAATCCAGTTTCATCGTTTTGAAAAAAAAAAAAAATCTTTTGAAGCTGGTTTCATTTACTCTTTGCCTATATAAGTGAGGAGCAGTTTTGGAAAAGCATTATTGTAAGATGAAAAGAAGAAACAGAGCAGAGGAAAACTTGTCCCTATAATCCTGGAGAAACTTTCCATTTTTCATTGGCCAAGTGCTTTTCCTCCTTTTAATCCCTCCGTAAACTAATTTTCTTTTTTTTTTTGGTTTTAAGATCAACCAGTCAGAACTGCTCACCATTAGACTGTCCTCATTGTATGCATTTCCACAGGCGTTTTCCCAGCAGCAGGGATACGTTCTCTTTTTCCATTTGTGCTGAGACTATATATGCCAGGTTGATGTCCACTCATCTAAAAACCCCCAATAACCTATTCTGTGATTTTTTTTTAAAACTTGAGATAGATACTGAATTATAAATCATGCTGATCTAAAGAGCAGGTCATAATAAAAAGCTTTGTATTCAGTGCCATGTAATCATTCTGAAAGAAAGTTCAGGGAACTGTTTGGCCAGCAAACAGGATGCATTAATTTGGGGGCATTTTTGTTGAGATCCTGAAGCGTGAGCCTGTGTGATGACAACGTGGGACGCACCACGTGTATCTAGGGACCGTAGCGTGAACTGGAACTGTGAAGTCAAAGCCAGAGCACGGAACCCCCAGCCCTGACACGGGATTACAGAAAACTCCCGGGGCTGGTGCACAGCAGTTACTCGGAAATCCAGACATTAGAATTCAATTGTCCTGAGCGTGCGGACCAACCCCTTAACGTTGCAAGTGCCCCACTTTTCCTTCAGTGCAGCTCCACGGAACCACCCTGGAATGGCCAGCACATCGGGGGTGAAGCCTGCCAAAACCAGATCTCTACTGGCAAGGCACACATGCCTGGCATCGCCATGCTGAAGCTCCAGATACACACACCCCTTGGGTGGCCATGGGTGTCGACTGCAACGTTGAAAGCTGAGTCTCTTGAGTTTTGCAATTACCTACATATGCCAGTGTGCTTAGTAACCGCTGCTATTTAGGAGAGACCAATTCAGCATAATCTCCTTGTGTCGGAGTTAACTCATATACTTGGTTTAAAATATACAAAAGCTCTGTCAAGCAGGCAGATCGCATGGCTCAGGGGATTGTAACAGGAGACTGTGTCTTTCACCTCTAGGTTAGTAGCTCTTTTAGCTAAGATCCCTGCCTCACTGCCACCCCATAGGTGTGGTTAACCAGCAGTATCTGCCCACTTCTTGGTTTAAAAAGTCCACATCTGAATAACCATCAATATAACTGCTGTTAATATTGTTTTCGTTCGAGGTGACAGTAAATGATGACACAGACCTAACTTTGAACTCAGACTTACGTCTTCTTTTAAAGCATAGAACATTTCTTTAATATCACACACACATGTGGCTAAGAAGATATTTCACTGTCAACAGCAGGAGATTTTTAAAGAGGCCATGTACTTTGGTACCAATATTACTTACTTACGACAAATTAGATACCTAGATTTTTTGTTACCAATGATGTTAGTGGGTACCTTGGATTTCTGAGTCAGATACGATCAGGTCTGTCCTTAAAATTTGGGGGGCTCAGGGCAAGAGTACAAGTGAGGTCCACCTCCCATATGTCTAGATATTTACAACTTAGAAATCAGGGTAACAAATTGTTAAATATCTTCTATCTTCTTTGTATATCTATTTAAAAATATATATATTTTTGGGTTTACTTATTTGATGTAAAATTATTGCAGGTCTGAACTGGGTGTTTTGTTTGGTGACGGCAATTCAAAATAGCAACCAAAATTGGAGACTTGTAGGCTCCCCTGAAAGGGAACAGTGTTTTTCACTGAGGTGGTGTGGTTCAGCCTCTGTCTCATAAACACTTCCAAAGAACTGTTTTGCATCTCACACGAAATGTTGGTAAAGACAGACCACACCACGGATGTATGCAGTACTTCAGTTAATTTGAAGCCTTT